TCTGCCTCTAGAGATTATATCACCATGTTACAAAAAATGACCATACCTCATTATTATTTGTGCTAAATTGGACCTCAGGTTTTATGCATTTGCAAACCCAATGCAAATAATTATCTAACTGCACTTCGTTTATACACTTATTTTATACATTTTTCCAAGACATTGAAGGGGCAAACTGAGTACATTTTTTAAATGCTAACAATTGAAAAGTAGTATCTGAACCAGACATACTAGTCAGGTACAACCCACCACTCACCTTCTGTCTGGTAACGATTCCCATTCCCTAACCAGGTAAACAACAAGTCTCCTCCCCCCCAACTACCAATGAAATATTGCAGAGTTGCTTTTTTTTTTAAATAGCTGTAGGGTTTTATAAAATATTTCAGTCCTGTCACTCATTTGGGGCAATGTCTAACAGTAGAACTGGAGTACAATTCTATCAAAGAACTCTCCTGCATCAGAGCTAGTACTATGTGGCTGAGCTATGATAGTCTATGTAACCCACAGGCCAAATCCCAGGGCCAGCATGAGTGAGCTCCATGGCTGTTGAAGCTGCCAGATGCGGCGGAAAGAATCTCACCCTTTCCTTACCAGTGGCTACATAATGATCCAACCCACCTGTGTCCTTAAGGATGTGGTTGGGGAAGCACTGAGCATGCTCAGTGCCTCAACACTCACTGGCCAAAAGACATCTGTCTCTGGCACATGGGCACCATTAGTGGAATGTGCCTATGGACAAGCACTCAAAGGAGAAGATATGGATTCTTCCATGTTGACTGACAAGCAGCCTCCGAAGAACTTTAAAGGGTGTTTCACATCCCTTACAGGTCTCCAAATCAGTGTCAGCCAGTAAAGAACACAGGGCCCTTAAGCCAAAGAAACGCTCCCTCCAATGCAGTTGGGGGATGAGGCATGGGGAGAACTACTTTCCAGGGTGAGCCATAAGAACATAAGAACGGCCGTACTGGGTCAGACCAAAGGTCCATCTAGCCCAGTATCCTGTCTACCGACAGTGGCCAATGCCAGGTGCCCCAGAGGGAGTGAACCTAACAGGTAATGATCAAGTGATCTCTCTCCTGCCATCCATCTCCACCCTCTGACAAACAGAGGCTAGGGACACCATTCCTTACCAATCCTGGCTAATAGCCATTAATGGACTTAACCTCCATGAATTTATCCAGTTCTCTTTTAAACGCTGTTATAGTCCTAGCCTTCACAACCTCCTCAGGCAAGGAGTTCCACAAGTTGACTGTGCGCTGTGTGAAGAAGAACTTCCTTTTATTTGTTTTAAACCTCCTGCCCATTAATTTAGTTTGGCGGCCCCTAGTTCTTGTATTATGGGAATAAGTAAATAACTTTTCCTTATCTACTTTCTCCGCATCACTCATGATTTTATATACCTCTATCATATCCCCCTTTAGTCTCTTTTCCAAGCTGAAAAGCCCTAGCCTCTTTAATCTCTCCTCATATGGGACCCATTCCAAACCCCTAATCATTTTCATTTTAACCTTTTGTAATATATAGACTATATCCCCAGCCCTTTCTTTCTCCACACCCTTACAAGAGAAGCAACGGACGGCTGCAGCAGCCACTGTGGCTTCAGTGGGATTCAGAGGATCCAGGAGCCACATAGAGTTGCTCAGCTCCCAAATAGCTCTTCCCCTTGTCTCTTCCCCTTCTCCTTCACACTGTGCCTGAATAGCTCTAGTATCAGTGGTGCCAAGAGTAACTATGCAGCAAGCAGGGCCGGCTCCAGGCACCAGCCGAGCAAGCTCATGCTTGGGGCGGCAGATTGTACGAGGCAGCATTCAGCCCAATCCTAGGGCGGCACGGCCGCTTTTTTTTTTTTTTTTTTTTTTGTTCCGCTCCGGCCGCCCTGTAGGGGGCGGCAGTGCGGAGGAGGGGAGCGCCCTCTAGCAAGCCCGGCAGGGCAGCCCGTGTCCTTCCCTCCCAGCCGACCGCGGTGCGGAGCCCTCCCGGCAGGCGGCTCGGCGGTTGGGGCCGCTGACAGCGCCCCACTGAAGCCCTGGCCGCCCCCTTCTCTCTCCCCCCGCTCTCTCCCCCGCTAGCCGGGGCACCAGTGCAGGGAGTCCCCCTGCACCCTGGCTCCGGCCGCGCCGCAAGTTTTTTTTTTTTGCTTGGGGCGGCAAAAAAGCCAGAGCCGGCCCTGGCAGCAAGAAGGGACTATTGCTCCTTTTACAAGAGTGTAACCAGGCCTAAAGCTTGGCCTCATAAGAGCAAAAAGAAGGTAGCCAAGCCCCAGCCTATGCATGCATGCTTCTGAGTTCCTCTTCAAGGCAGGGAGACACTTTGTTATGTGTACAGTGCCAGCAGGACTGGAGCACCAACGGTAACCACCTTCCCCATCTTGGGGAAGCAGGGCTCTTAGAAATCCTAGAATATCAGAGTTGGAAGGGACCTCAGGAGGTCATCTAGTCCAACCCCCTGCTCAAAGCAGGACCAATACCCAGACAGATTTTTGCCCCAGATCCCTAAATGGCCCCCTCAAGGATTGGGTTTAGCAGGCCAATGCTCAAACCACTGAGCTATCCCTCCCACCCTCTTAAGGGAGAGAGATGCTAGGCTGCTGTGAAAGGAAGCTTAGCCCATGTGATGAAAAGGATCTTGGGATCTCAGAGGAGAAAATGTGATTGTGTGTTGGGAGGTGGGGAAATTGATTTTGAAGAACAGTGATATATTTTAGGGCAGGAGTTGGTTTTGTAAGGGCAGAACTGATTGTGTGGGATGGGGATTCAAATCTGAAAGTGAGAGGAAATAATGCATAGGGCATACTTGGATAATAGGGGTGATTGTTGGGGAGTGAATTGTACAGTAAGTTATTTTGTTTGTGAGGGAGCCATTCATAAACGGTCTCCCTGTCCTCGGCTTGTACTAAAGAGTTCACTTCACTATGAGGAGGAAGGGACCTCCAAGGAAAGGGAATAAGACATAAGGGACAGGGCAAGATATTCCTACTCCTAACTGCCCAATTTTAAAATGCCACTCCTACCTCCCATCTGATTCCCTCATTCCCAAATGCCCCATTCCTTCTCACTGCTCCAGCTGCAATTCCCAGACTCTCCTACTGAATTTCTTCTTGCCAATCCCTCCCTCCAGCAACCCAATTCCGTATCTGATCTGTCCCATACCAAAGAATCTTCCAATTCCAACAACATCTGATATCTTCTCCTAGTAAAGATAGTTCACCAAAAAACATTCTTCTGGCTCTTAGAGTAAAAGCAGAGATTAAAAGAACATTCATCTCTTCACTATGAACTGAATATCATCCCATATGCAGACTTGATTCCCATGCAGGCCCCATACATAAAATGTATGTAAACACCATTTCTCCTTCTCTCTCTAACTTGTATAGGTAGCCTACCTCTTTCCATCTCCAGTTTATTCTGTACACTGAACTGAGATTTTTTTTTTTAATAACTGGTAACAAACAATACTAAAGCACACCTAAGAACTTTCAAGTTTCATAAAAGCTATGAAGATACATCCTATGACATATAAGAGAGATTTCTTAAGGGATAATACTTTAAACAGCCTTCTGAATAGTGACAGATTAAGAGGCTGTGCAACAGACTGAATAGTAGAAATAGGAAAGCAGTAATCAAATTTGGGTTGTAGATAATGTACAGAAAATAGAGCTGAAGCTACTCCTGTCCCAGTCCTCTTACTTCTTCAAAAAGATGTTAACAATGAAGATTAAAAACAACAAAATCTCTGGGAGTTTATGCCAAATGCCATATTTTATTTTTTGTATAAAGGGACAAATTTTAAATGCTTGTGAGAAACTAGCCTAGCTGGCAGGCAGTTTATCCCTCCATGCCAGATAACATTTACTTCTGTGTGATAATAGGAGTTACACAGCACACTAAGGGAAGACTGGGGATAACATTTTCAAAAGCAGCTCAGTGATTTAGGTGCCTAAATCCCATTAAAAGTCAATAGGCACTTTCGAGAATTTTGCCCTAATCTCAAGGATATGCTAGATCAATGAGAATATTCTTGTATTCCCAAACCTACTCCATATTACAGTACTTGTTCATTACAAGTGGTTTTGGTCATATGTATGAGCAACCTGAAAAGATACAACCAGTTTAGAATCAGTAACCCAGAACAACATTAATTAATCACTGATTTGACTATTTGCACCTGGGTTCTTTGAGGTCAAATGCCAGAGTGAATAATGAGGCACAAGATTGTTATGTTACTTTTTTGTCACAATACTTACTAGGGACTGACTATTCCTTTACAGCTTTATCCTGCAAGTGCTGACTGCCTTCTATGAGATGAGAGTTGGGGGCACTTAGAACCTCATATGACCGGTTCTTTGAAGAGAATATTAATCTAAAACAAGCATAAATTCTTATCTTAAGACAAAGGTTCTTTTTTAGCAAGTCTACTAACCAGACTAAATTAAAGGCACTTTTTGGTATATGAAAAGTTTAAAGGTTCCTTTTATTATCTCTTTCCACATGCAGCTATAATGAATCCTCTTTACAGAATGATGTATGATGAATAGTGGTGGACTTACAATACCAGGAATTAAACCTATTTCTAGTGACTTCTGGCCTGATTTTCTGAAGTTCTGAGCATCCATAAATCCCATGTAAATCAAGAGGAGCTGCAGGTGCTCAGCACCTTTGAACAATCAGACTGTAAATGCTTGTCTCTATATTATAACATTTTAAAATTAAAAAATGTTTTATTATGGTCAGAGTTTACATTTTTGGTAAAATGTGTTAGCTAACCTGCCATCATAATCACTCTTGTAGTGTCTCCGAATTTTTTTAAATGAAAAATGTATACTAAATGTTTAATACACTATGGTAGCTGCTGGTCAAAATTAGTATACCACAGAATAAAATTCATGATAAACTCACTTTGGAACAATTTATACAAAGCAGTAAATAAATAATTTGCACTTCAGTCTCATTAAAAAGTAAAACAGTACTTCACACCACAGTATCATCCTATCTAGATAATATAAACTTGTTATCCTTTATTGCATCATAATTTGAAGATAACATTTTAAGATGAAGTAAAATATGTAAAGAAACAGAATAATTAGATTTACTTCCTTTAATATTGAACAACCAAAGTTTCTCTTTTGTACATAATCCATTTTTAAGATAATATAATTAGCACTTCCAGCATTAACAGTCTGTATGTACAATGAATGAGCTGGGCGCGGAATCTAAATAAGAAGAATCTTCAAATCTGTATGAAATGCAAATCAAAATGCAAAGATTTACAGTAGGCTCAACTCCAAGATTCTTCTATTTATGGGAGACAATTAAAAATGCTTTACTTTCTTTATTACCTGTAAGGGTTCCTGAAATGATTTTGGTATCATGTTTTAAACATTTGAAATCTTCAATAATGCCTTCATTATTTTGCACATTATATTAAAAATTCATTCCAATACTTCTACATCAGCTTTTGCTTTTTTGTAGACTGGTTGAAATCTGACGAAAGGATAATGAGGAAATTTATTATGTAATCCTAATTTCATATTCCTGGATATACAATGGGTTGAGAAGATTGTGCTGGTCTATTCCACGGGTCATGTACACAAAAGTTATGCACGTTTTAAAACGTTCTTCGCTCTTGCATAAAATGTGTACAGAGTATGAATGAGCAGGAAAACATCAAAGTTTTTATGGATTGCAGCTGGCATGGACCTTTGTTGATTGAAAATAAAATATCATTTGCTCTATTGTTCTTGTAGCAGTATTAGAAGTTAATCATCAATCCCTGGTGTTTCACCCTGTTGTATTCTGGAGGCTATTCTGATGGCTTCTTCCAAAGACTGCTGCTCTCCAAGCTGAAACAATGGTATGTGAAAAACATAAATTGATCAAAAACGTTGCATAAAATAGATCACTGTTTTCTTATGAGAGAAAGGGGGAAAAGCAAAAACTATTCCAGTCAATCCTCCTTTCTGCAGTAATTGTGATAGCCAGTATTGTCACTTTTTTCTGAATAATATGTACTACCAGTTATCTAATCAGTTATCAAAATGAAAATACACCCGAGGAATTAAGCTCAGTTTGCTGAATGGCCTTCAGAGTCTTGGTGCACTGCAAACAAATTTCACCACATGCATTAGAGATAATCTTTCAACTTGGCAGATATTAAAAGAAACTGCTAAGATAAGGTTTTCAGCAAGCAAGGCAGGTGCTAAATAATGACCTATTAATACTCACAAGCCAAAATGCATGATACCACTTTTCTTTAAGTTTTCAACATATAAACAAGACTTTGGGAACAATGGCATATCTTTTTTTTTTTTATACAAGTGGCAAAATTCAAGTTGATGGAATCAAAAAGTTGGAAAATAGTGATGACAGTGCTCAACACTGCAGCAGTTTAAAAAAAGAAGACTCTTGTGGCAGCAGCTACAGGACCTTCAGTATCACTGTTAGAAGCCATTCCATCAAACTCTGATTTTTTGTTGTTGGAAATGGTTCTCAAAGTATTCTATATCAGTGAACTCAGGGCTGAAAAAGTAATCTTTAAATTGTACTAACCTGCCCATTAGCCATTACCAAGTTGCAGAGAGGGTGAAGACAAAGTGAAGAGACAAAACAGACTACATGACAGATGACTAGATCTCAGAGGATAGTTCCCTAGTCCAAGTAAATGTGGTTTTTATCGTCACCAGGTGAGAAATTCTGGCCATACTGCAGTCAATGAGAGCTTTGCTGTTGACTCCAACAGGACTAGGATTTCACCCTGGACATGTATCATTCTACTGGCCTCATTAATATTTAGAAATCAATGGAACACATTTATTAGTATAGAGGGATGGTGGAGGAATTGTTCTTAAGTGGTAACTCTAGAATTTTCTACCTTTGCTATTTTGATATATATTTGAAACTTTTATTAATATAGATTTTCCTCTGCATCTAAAGACTATCAGAAATTATGTACTACTGATAAAGGCTATGAAATTAGTGAAAGTAAGATGTTCAGAAAGAACATGATACAACAGAAGAAATAAATGGATTTGCCTATAAAAAGGCCAGTAAATAAATATTATTAGAAGCCTGCAAACCTGACACTTTTGCCTCACAATGTGATCAATTTTCTTTTTCTCTGTCAGCACATGGTCAATTTGTTACCTGGCGTGAGCTGAAAAATGTACACACTCCTGAATCCTAATTAACTTTTGAATATTGCAAATTCCGAATATTTATTCCATCCAGTAAACATGGCACTGAGAGTGATTTTCACTGTATCCCAAATACTGGCAGTTTAGAATATCTGATAGACTATGTTGCTAAGAGACACTGGCTGGCTGCTTATGCACTTTCATGTTCTTGATAAGCAGTTAAGGAAATCAGTAAGACTGGGCATTGTTTCAAGTTTCTGTGTAGAAAGGAATAATACATTTTCAAGTATGGAAGTGTTCAGTTAATCCTGCTTTCCATATGCCCTGCCAGTTGTAGATATAGGAAAACTAACAAAATTTAGGAGATCATAGTATTATTATTCTTCATTAAGTATTTAAGAGTAATTTTTCAAAACTAATTTACAGCATATGAGACATATTTTATGGGGATACATTTTCAGCCCGGTATGTGGGAATTTAGACATGCAAATCCTATTTTATATTCCTTTTTGGGGGGGTTGTTATACCTTAAATTTAAACTAGTTCGGTCTAACTAGTATTACTGGAAATGTAAGTCTAGTATTAATTAAACAGGCTTTCCTACACTGATTTGCCAGTGTACTTCAATTCTGACCCAGAGTGATAACTTCTGTGAGTGAAAGGGCCATTTGTTTTTCTTGCCCATTCAATCACTGGATGCTCTGCTGAGGGTGCCAAGACGGGCTTATTACTCTACTGCTTTTTGTTATTTGTATAACTAATTTCAGAGGGACCATTCAATTCCCTCACATAGTACCCAATTTTAATCAATACCAATTTAGGCAAAATTAGAACCAATGTCTTAGAACTGAAAGGCTCTGTAATTCATTACCATTCAAATTGTGTTCCTTTCCTCATGAACCAAAGTGATAATGATATCCTCTCATACTCAGACCTCCAATGGAAATAAAAGGAAATAACCTGTAATAAGAGCTCTTTGAAAGATGTATGCATTTGAGAACACAGAATATAGTTCTCATGGGTGTGTCACCTTCTTAGTTTGGAAGCTTTTAATCTCTCTGTTAGCTTTATCAAATATGTATAGTTTTGAATGGTCAAAACACTTCTGAAGAGTTACTGATTGTGACCCAAGGAGCCTCTTAAATACCAATTGGCAGAGGGCACACCATACCATAGCTCTTATCAGGCCTGACACACTCATTGCCCCCAACTCACTGTTGTCATAATCTGTATCTAAAAGTTACCATGTAAGAGGATGTCATGCAAATTGGTCACATGCTGGTCCTCAATATTATTGCGTGATGTACATACTGGCAGTGTATAAAGAATTATAGAGGTGTGCTAGAAATTTGTTCCTAAAATTTGTTTGGTAGGTAGTGCCTGAGCCCAGCGCATCTTAGACAAAGGAACGTTGTTTCGCCCAGCTTGACAATGTCTCCAATGTAAATTAACCAAGGTGAGATCAAAGACAATGAAAAAGGCATTTACGTGTAAGGTAAACAAAGTCATCAGGTGAGCAACTGGCAGAAGATGACCACTTAACAATCACGACAGGGGATTGTGGCTGCACCACCCAGACGCCTTCCTGCCTCTTGAAACAAGATCAATGAACTTTGGGAAGATATAAGCAGAAGCAAAAAGCCATTTTGTGATCCATCATAGGACGGAGACAAAGGGCCAGAGCTCTTGTAATCTGAGAAAGTTGGATCCTTCAACCAAGGGGGATGAAGTGTCTGGGAACTGCCTCTAGATGAGGAACCTGCTTAAACAGAGATTAAAAAGTTTTAGTCACTACAAAGCGTGTTTTGTTTTGTTTTACTTGTAACCAGCTCTGTGCCTTCTATTCTTACTTACTATCACTTAAATCTCTGTTTTTTGTTAATAAACTTGTTCTTGTTTATTATGAAACCATCTCAGTGCTGTATATTAAACTGAAGGGTAAAATCCTCAGCCAAACTACCAGACTGGTGTGTGTGTTCAGTCTCTTTGGAGGCAATGACCAAAATAACTTCTGTGAGGGACCAGTGAAGCTCTGGACACTACAAGGAGGATGGTTTTGGAGAGACTCAGGACTGGGAAGGCTGTTCGAGTAACCAGGCCGGTGGAAGCCAGGCTGAGGCCACTGTGCTGTGAGCAGTCTGCTGATGTCAGGGCTCTGAGCCAAAGCTGAGCAGCACAGAAGCACCCAGTATTAAAGGCAGGCGGTGACACAACCCATTACTGGTCTGGGTGATCCCCCAAAGCCTCCCACTGATACACTCAGGTAAATATCACAAAATATATTCTGCACGATCAACATGAAACTGACAATGAAAATGGCATTTACGTGTAGGTAAAGTCATCAGGTGAGCAACTAGCAGAAGATGACCACTTAACAATCAAGACAGGCTTATTCAGTATTTCCTTTCCATGCATTACTAATTACTAAAATATTTTTTACCAATATTAAATCTTAATTTCCAGGTACTTTCTCTTCCTTTTACCTCACCTATTTGTGATACCTATTGCTGAAATAACAAACACCCTTATTTCCTTCTGACTCTGCTGCTACCCAAACTATACTTGTTACGTGGATAAAACAGAAGATGCGATTTCTGGAGATGTCAATCCTGCACAAATCTAGATACTGATTTCAATTAGCGGTTTCACTATTGGTATTTCAAGCCATAAATAACATAGAATCAGTCTGCCAGGGGAATCATTTCAATCCCTTTATCTAGTCCTGGCAATGTAAATTAGGGAGTTTGGAATTTCTGACCATCCCAAAATATAATCTTGAAGGATGGATGGCAGGGCTTCTCACTGAAGGCCTGTGCCTCTGGAATACTCTCTCTATCAATATACATGAAAATGTATAAATATGGCACTTTTCCAGGTATGGCTCAATATGCCTCAGTATTTTTAATTAATTTTACAATTTGATGGGTGCTACTTTTATGTCTGAAAGAAGGAAATAAGGATGTTTGTTATTTCTGCATCCATGCTAGTATTTTTTATTTATTTATTTAAGTATTGGGCCAGACTGCCCTTTATTATTTTTTTATTTTTTGGGGGGGATGGGGGAGAGAAGTTTATTAGTTATTTCATTAGGTGCCCAGAGACCATTGGACACAGGGCACACACTAAATAAAAATGATTATCTTACCTGCACTGCAATTTGCGTTCCATTAGATGTAGCCAACAATGTAACAGGCCTGGTTTCTGTAGTCACTAAATGATGCCCATGTTGCTGATGTCCCATTTCTGATGAGGCACTATGGAATGCTAAGTCTTGAGCCACTATAGCAACCTTTAAGGCAAAAGAAAAAATCAAAACTAACTGAAATTTAAAATCTGTTTCAATAATCTCAGTTGAATGTTAACTTCAGGGCCTACCTAGGACAATTTACTATTCTAACTTGATTCAGCAAAGCAATCTAAGACACAGACAAATATGATCAACTTTTTTATAAACCAACACCACTATCATCATGTTCATGCTCTTCTTCAATCTTATCTGTTGTGACCTCTGAAAAGATTAATGTCCTCAAGGAGCAAAACTCAGAATTAAGGGAGATGCTATGAGCTAGTCATCAGATGTTACCTTTCAGTCCTGAGAAATACAAGACTGAATTCACATTTAAATTTAAATCTCTCCTTTGGCAACCTAATAAGGTACCACAGAAAAGCTCAAATGCTTTTATATTTTCAAAATTTAAATAGAGAAGACTGCATTATTTGCACATAGGTTTAGTATATTTGCTTAATTTGTAATTATTAGATCCATAATTCTATAATAATTAATAAATATTCTCATTTGCAAGCACACCTTTAAAACAGATATAATAGGGGATCGTTTTACAACATTTGAATACATTCTGAAAAACAGGGATTAGGGAATTTCATAACTAAATTTCTATACATCTTTCTGAAAAAAAAATCTAATGTTTTGCAGATTAAAGGCAAAAAAGTACAGCAAAATTTGCCAAAAACCAAGTATTTTTTACTCTGCTTAAGGAAATGTTGTCCCTTAATGGGATTTGCAGGAGACTAAAAGCCAGGACTAGTTCTGGATTCTATTCCCAGCTTTGTCACGGGTTTGCAGTATGACTTGGGCATGTCACAACCTTTCTGTGCCTTATTTTACCCATCTGTAAATTGGTTCTCTCATCACTATTCACAGGTTGTTTTGAGGTTCAACTAATTAATGTATATAAAACTCTGAGATCATTTCATGTAAGGCAGTGGAGAACAATGCATTACCATGTTATTATGAGAGGAATGATATAGTCATGTATGGAAAGCTTTGCTCTAATCAGATATGTTTGTGTGAAGCAGATAATACTTCAAGTGTCTTTGTGTATATATTTAAAAATATCTTAGAAAAAAAAGACACAGGTATGCAGAAAAACATTTTACCTGCTGTCCTTCAGTGCCCTCTGCAGTTACCATTGCAACAGAATGTGTTCCTGCAGAAGAAATGACTGCATCATGCGCAGGGACTGTGATGGTGGTGCCATCTTGTGTTACCATAGTAATAGTATTTCCAATGGCCTGCATGTCAGCCTGAGATATGTTGACCTGAAACACAATGTAATTTTTGAATTAAAACAAGTTTATTTTAATTGCTGATTGAGTCTTAAATGAGTTTTAACTTTGGGTCATATGGCAATGTGTTTTCAGACAACAATCCAAGATTTGTAAATGTTTCCAAATAAGAGTTTAAATAAAGACAACACAAACTTAAAATGCAACAGTTTTTATAAAATACGCTTCTGCCATCTGGTAGCACAATTTCTTTGTCAATGAACAACAAGCCAGAACTATCCTTGAGAAGGCAGTCGATTCTCAGTAGCATTGAAGAATTTACTTTATCCAGTCATCACATATAAGCTAAACTGGCTATAGACTCTAAAAGCCACCACCACTCTTCCTGCTCTGCTTGTTCCTGCATTTCCTCCAAACCACTTTTCTTCCCCAAGCCTTCTTGGACAAAAAGTGTCACCATCCCAGCTCTTTTACTGGTTGGAATCCATTATCCCACAATCTTTCAGACATTTCCTAATTCATAATGCACGTTTACAGAAATAAAACTAAACTGCAATGGATAGGTAACAGCAGCATGTATCCTCTTTCAGTCAGAGAACTGCTTAGTAGTTCTGTTTTAATTAGATCATGTCCAAATTAACCTCAGACATTTAGACTGTCCATAGAAGTGTCTTGCATGAGGAACAGTATAACTAAAAGTTTCACTAAAAGTGTTGGAGATGTGAACTCAACATACCATTTTACATTTGTTTTGTCTTAACAGAAGCGTCAAACACACCTGCATTTTCATTTGGCTTAGAACATGCTGGTAAAACATCATTGTAATTTTTCTTAAGAATTCAAAGACATAAGTATTTATTTTATGCTTTCAGTCTAATATGCATTACCAAACAGAAAAGAAATCCAAAAACGAAAGTCAAGTTGAGGTATAAGAACAAGTGGAAAGAATTTCTGTGTTAAGGCTGCCACACTCATTCACCTTTGGGCAGGACTGGCTCCAGGGTTTTTGCCGCCCCAAGCGGCAGGGAAAAAAAAAAAGCCGCGATCGCAATCGTGATCGGCGGCACTCCAGCGGCAGCTCCACTGCGCCGCTTTCTTCTTCGGCGGGAATTCGGCGGCAGATGCTTCCCTCCAAGAGGGACCCGCCACCGAACTGCCGCCGACCAGCCCGATGTGCCGCCCCTTCCCCTTGGCCGCCCCAAGCACCTGCTTGCTGGGCTGGTGCCTGGAGCCAGCCCTGCCTTTGGGCATAAAAAATACACTACAGTAATGGTCTCAAACACTACAATAGTGTTACTGCAGTGTTAAGGCAGAACTGTATATTTAATCTTTGATTCAGATTTGGGAGGTACTTTTCAGATCTAAATACATATATCAACTGCTTGCCCTGCTGAAATATAAAAAGATGTGTCTTGTTGGTGTTGCAGGCCCTAAACAAGAAATAAAACAGATTAACCTCTTATGGCAAGTTCCTATTTCAGCTAAGTTCCTTATTTACCACTTAAATGAAAACAAACTTTCTGTAGAGATCTTTGTGCTGAGGTAGTATCAGTACACTTCTTGTTCCTCTCTTGGCAGTGACTGAAGGCTGCCCTAGTTAGTAGTGATGGGAACTGTCCAGCAGCACTAGAGCTGGCAAGCCCCTGCATTCAGAAGGTCAGAAGTCTGAACAGATACAGGAGAGTAAAACCTGGACCTGTGAGATCATAACAGCTTATTAAGGAATTTCAGGAAGCCTCAGAAACCAGGCTCTATGCAAAGAAGTTCTTATTATGGGGTGTGGCAGTGGGGGTGAGCAAAATGAGCCTGCAAAGCTTCTAAGGCCTTCCAACCCTGAGAGAGGGAACTGATCAAACAAACAGTAATAAGTCACCAGGACCAGATGGCATTAACCCAAGAGTTCTGAAAGAACTCAAATATCAAATTGCAGAACTGCTAACCGTGGTATGTAACCTCTCTCTTAAATCAGCCTCCGTATCAGATGACTGGAGAGTAGCTAACATAACATTTATTTTTAAAAAAAGGCTCCAGAGGTGATCCCGGCAATTACAGGCCAGTGAGCCTAACTTCAGTACCAGGCAAATTGGTTCAAACTATAGTAAAGAACAGAATGATCAGACATACAGATAAACACAACACGTTGGGGAAGAGTCAATACAGCTTTTGTAAAGCGAAACTGTGCCTCACAAGTCTATTAGAATTGTTTGAGGGAGTCAACAAGCATGTGGATAAGAGTGATCTAGTCAATATAGTATACTTGGACTTTCAGAAAGCCTTTGATAAGGTCTCTCACCAAAGGCTCTTAAACAAAGTAAGCAGTCATGGTATAAGAGGAAAGATCCCCAGTAACTGGTTAAAAGACAGGAAACAAAGGATAGGAATAAATGGTCAGTTTTCACAATGGAGAGAGAGGGGTAAATAGTGGGATCCCCAAAGATCTGTACTGGGACCTGAGCTGTTCAACAGATTCATAAATGATCTGGAAAAAGGGATGAACAGTGAGGTGGCAAAATTTCCAGATGATACAAAGATACTCAAGGTAGTTAAGTCCAAAGCTGACTGAGAAGAATTGCAAAGGGATCTCACTGAACAGGGTGATTGGGCAACAAAATGGCAGATGAAATAGAATGTTGGTAAATGCGAAGTATTGCACACTAGAAAACGTAATCCCAACTATACATACGAAATGATGGGTTCTAAATTAGCTGTTACCACGCAAGAAAGAGATCTTGGGGTCACTGTGGCTAGTTCTCCAAAGACATCTGCTCAACATGCAGTGGCAGTCAAAAAAAGAGAACAGAGTGTTAGGAACCATTAGGAAGGGGATAGATAAGAAGAGAGAAAATATCATAATACTACTATATAAATCCATGAGACACCCAAACCTTGAATACTGTGTGCAGCTCTGGTTGCCCCATCTCAAAAAGGATATATTAGAATTGGAAAAGGAACAACAAAAATGATTGGGGTATGGACCAGCTTCCATATGAGGAGAGATTAAAAAGACTGGGACTATTCATTTTAGGAAAAGAGATGACTAAGAGTGGATATGATAGAGGTCTATAAAATCTTGAATGGTATGGAGAAAGTGAATAGGGAAATGATTTTTTTATCCCTTCACAGAACACAGAAACTAACGGTCACCTGGTGCAAATAATAGACAGCAGGTTTAAAACAGATGTAAGGAAGCACTTCTTCACACAACGCACATTCAACCTGTGGAATTTGTTGCTATGGGATGTTGTGAAGGCCAAAAAGGCTTTGTATTCATACTCTGCTCAGAACAAACAAACAAGGCCTAACCTGTGTATTCCAGAGGAAGCCCATTCTTAAACTTATTTTTATTCTGACCCAGCTGTGAAACCTGGCCCTAATACATACAAACATCCATTATTCAGGGATTTTAACTCTAATGTAAGTAGGCATAATGGAATATCTGAAGATAAATAATAGCTTTAATTCTGAATATCCTCTTGTTAGCAAATTCTTTACCATGGTGAATACTTACATGCTGGGTCCCATCCTGGGAAATTAATGCAACTTGTTGACCAAGCCCTGACTGAGTAACTGTAGCAACTTGTGCGGAAACGACATCCTCTCCATCTACACCTGTGACATAGGTTATCTGGGAGCCTTTTAGAACATCTTCACCTTGACCTATTTCATAAAAGGAAGGCAGAAGGATATGTTACATACTGCAAATACTAACAGTAATAAGAGTAAAGCTAAAAAGAAAAAAGCAACTTTCTGGATAAAAAGTTTTAAATTCTGGGTTGTAAAGAGGGGAGGGGAAGAGAGAGAGAGAAGGAAATGGAAACTGCTATTGAAATCAAATAAAAATGCCCCAAATGACTGTTTTACTAGGTCTGGGACATACTTTTTAAATGGAGAATAATGCATATAAATCCTGTGCATTGAAAAGAAAATAGACATTTTGGTATTTAAGGCATATTTACATAGTTTATAAGCAAAGATAATATTAAAAAGGGTGACAAACAATACTGTGATTCATTTAATTAAACATTAACCTTTACATACTAAGGTTTGATGTAATCACAATCGGCAGCCCATTAAAAGAATTATTCATTAACGAACAACTGAACCGCAGAGGAGTAGAGTGGCATCATTGTGTGAGGACTGATATAACAGTATATTATCTTAATAAATGTTTAACCTTGGCAAATAGAAATCTTCCATTCTAATCTTTGCTTTGTAAGTAGCAATCAGAATGCGGCAATTTACTTAAGAGGGGTTTCACTGCAGTCTCCCATATACAAATAGTAAAATTGCTTTTCCAGTCAGGATAGATCACTTATTTACATCTACCCTATATCCAACCCCAACACCAGCTAAAATAAGAATGTAAAAAATGTTTGTTTTCTTGCAATAGAAAATGCATTTTTTCATACTCCAATCAGTCTGACTTTTTACTCTGACTGGATTTAGTCTCTAAAGTACCGTAAAGACCGTTTTCTACATAGTGCTCCTACATACAGAAAAACTGCTTGCCAACAGTAAATATACATCTTGTATGGGCTGTGCTGGGAGCAGATCCATAGAGCATAGCACTGTGGGCATTCTCAACAGCCCCACTACCCCTAGGGCAGCCCAGAAAGGCTGTTGTAAAGGCCACTTTGGTCTCAGAAGTAGTTCAAAATCAGGAGGGTGCAAAGATAGTGTGAAGCCACTTTTTTCCCTCCCTTCTCCAGGGCTGCACCTTTAAGATCAGAGCACAGACTCTCACGCATGGTGTTTTATATACTTAGAAGAATCCTTTAGGATGTAATATAAACATTTTGTCTATTTTCGGGCCTGCTTCAATATGATATTCATAGACGGTGTGATCTAGTGGTTAGAGCACAGGAAGGCTGTTTCTCTGTTTTATTCTCAGCTTTGCCACTGACTTGTTTTATGACCAAGTCAATTACTCTCTCAGCGCCTGATTACTCATCTAGATGATGGATAATAGTAATATCTACCTATTGTGCCTCACACGGGTATTTTGAGGTTTACTTAGTGTTTGTAAAGCACTTTAGTACTCTCAGATAAAAGGTGCTAGTTAGTACAAAGTATTACTGAAGAAAATATCACACCTGTCTTTTAATTCCCCTGACTCTGTGGAATACTGATAGTCGTAAGTGTGTGCTGGATGCAATCTTTTATTTTGCTACTATGGGAGGAAAATCAGAGACTGGGAATACCAAACACAAACCTGGAGGCGGCTCAAAGAAAGCTTCCTGCTCTTCTTCAATTGGCTCTGTGTCGTTGTGCGCTGTCCGCTTGTGCATAGCAAGTGTGGAAATCTGCTTGTATGTTTTCCCACAGTGATTGCAGTTGTATGGTTTGGAATGAGTATGTACAACATGGTGTTTGTATAAACTGGAATATTCTGTGAAACGTTTGTCACAGCCAGGAACCGTGCAGACATAGGGCTTCTCGCCTACAGGGAAAGACAAAAGGGATGAAGAAAATTATAACCAGGATATGCAGGAAAACCCTGACAATAAATATCCTGCCACTTACACAGACATTTAATGAGACAGTTTTACTATCACCCAGATCAGTCATGCGTTCTCCACCTTCCTTTCCTAACGCAGCAATGGCCACAATGCAATGCATGGCTGTCCTCTTTAATACCGATGTGCTGCTACAATAGGCTGGCCCTACCGTGCTGTCTGAGGAGGCTATTCAGATCAAGAAGGACCATGCATGCTGGATCTCCTAATTTTCATGTGCCAGATATTCATACTAAAGATGAGGGAAGCTGCAATCTGCTCCACTATCTGAAAATAACACGTGGCTCTCCAAGCTCCTGGCAAGATGCCAATATAGCCCTCACTTTGGCACAGTATTCACAATTCTGCCCTAACTCTTTACATTAGCTGCCCCTCTGACTTCATACGAAGTTCTGCACTTATCCTCCCTCAAAGATGAAATGTGTTATTTGGTCTGGTAAGTTAGAGTCCCAAACCTCAGTCTCTTTAGCTCTACAGGAATTTTATGGGATTTATACATATATAAAAATGATTAAAGCTAAATAGAAGTGACATTCTTCACTTAAAATCAATGTAACACACACTCAAACCCAAAAATCAGTTCAAGAGGTATACAAAATCTTCAACTCCAGGAGATTTATTCATCCCTGCTAACAATGAAAAACCGGAGGATACAAAAAATCATAGCTACAGGGCTGTAGGACCCTGCACATGGATGCAGTGTTATTTCTGCTGATTCAGCCTAGCAGTTAGACCAGGTGGATCCTGTTAGGTCCAGAAGAGGAGGTTACTCACCTGTGCAGTAACTGACGTTCTTCGAGATGAGTGCTCCAGTCCAGGTGTTGGCGCGCCACTGCGCCTTTGCTCGGAGATTTTTACAGCAGTACTCGCACGGTCCCGCACATGCGCGGTGCCCAGGGCCGGTGCTACCAATATGGCAAACTAGGCGGTTGCCTAGGGTGCCAAGATTTGGGGGCACCAAAAAGCGGTGCCCCCAATTTTTTTTTTTTTTTTTTTTTTACAGCATTCCCGGGCTGGGCTGCCGGTGGCGCGCTGACACGTGCGGCTCAGACTCCCTCTCCCAGCGCAGCGGCCGCTCCACTTCTCCCGCCTCCCAGGCTTGTGGCACCAATCAGCTGTTTGGTGCTGCAAGCCTGGTAGGAGAGGAGAATTAGAGCGGGGGCGGCGTGCTCGGGAAGGAGGAGGAGCAGAGGTGAGCTGGGGTGGGGAGCTGCCGCACAGCTCCCCGGGCCGGAGGGGTGGGGAGCTGCCGTGGGGGGGGGGCGGGTGTGCCTCAGGGCGGGGGGGAGGAGCTGCCGCAGGGCTCCCCACCCCAGGTCGCCTCTTCTACGCCCCCTCCCCGAGCACGCTGTTGCTGCTCCACTTCTCCCACCTCCCAGACTTGCAGCGCCAATCAGCTGTTTGGTGCTGCAAGCCTGGGAGGGGAGGAGAATTAGAGCGGGAACGGCGTGCTCGGGGAGGAGGCGGAGGAGAGGTGAGCTGGGGTGGGGAGCTGCCGCACGGCTCCCCAGGGCAGGGGGAGCTGCCGTGGGGGGGGGGGGCGTCTCAGGGCGGGGGGGGGGAGCTGCCCCAGGGCTGCGGGGGGGGGGGAGGGGCGCAAGGTGGAAGTTTCGCCTAGGGCGCGAAACTTCCTTGCACCAGCCCTGGCGGTGCCTACCTCATGCGCCGACTGTCTCTCAATAGCGTACGCAGCACAGCTCCTCAGTTCCTTCTCTACAACGGAGACCGCTCCAAAGTAGAGGGGAGGAGGGTGGGTAGTGGAGCACCCAGGGACACTCATCTTGAACAACGTCAGTTACTGCCCAGGTGAGTAACCTCCTCTTCTTCAAGAGATGTCCCTGTGGGTGCTCCACTCCAGGTGACTGAAAAACAGTATCTCTTAAGGAAGTAGGGACTTCGGATCTGATATGAAAACTGTAGACAGCACACCTCAGCCCATTTGCATGTCGATCAGGGGACCCTGAGTAAGAGCATAATGTTAAGCAAAGGTATGCTCTGAAGCCCAGGTGGCAGCTTTGCAAATATCTGTGAGGGGAACGTTACTTAAGAATGCCAAGACGTTGACACAGATCTGGTGGAGTGTGCTCTAACAGAAGTTGGAGGTTTATCTTCTTTAGTTGGTAGCACAGGCGGATACAGTCTGCTATCTAATTGGATATTCTCTGGGTAGAGATGGATTTGCCTCTGGATCGTTCTGTGATTGAAATGAAAAGTTTAGGGGAAGCCCTAAATGGCTTAGTCCTATCGAAATAAAAGGACAATGCTCTATGCACGTCGAGTGCGTGCACTGCTGATTCAAAAGTGTTTGCATGCGGTTTAGGAAAGAAGGTTGGTACAGTGATAGATTCATTGAGGTGGAAGGAGGAATGCACCTTTGGGAGAAATTTAGGATGTGTTCGGAGCGTCACTTTGTCCTTAAAAAATATAGTGTACAGTGGTTCAGCCATAAGCGCTCCAAGTTCTCCTATACATCTGGCAGATGTAATGGCAACTAAAAATGCAGTTTTCATGGATAGATGTAGGAGGGAGCATGTTGCAAGCGGCTCAAATGAATGGTACATCACAGATATGAGGACCAAGTGCAGGTCCCAGGGTTGAGTGGGTGGTCTAATGTCCAGGTATAGCGTCTGGAGGCCCTTGAGGAACCACGTTGTGATGGGGTGGGCAAAGTGAGTAGTGGCGCCGGTCTTATTGTGAACCGCCATAATTGCCATTAGATGTACCTTTATGGAGCTAAAGGAGAGCCCAGATAGTCTAGCATTAGTGAAAGAGGGGCGGAAGCAGGAGCGGTTTGCTTGGCGGAGCACCAGTGAATGAACCTAGTCCATTTATGGAGATAGCAGAACAAAATCCACATGTACCACCTATGTAATAGTACTCTTTGTACCTATTAAGAGCAGTCTAGTTCCTCATTAGAGAGCCATTGAGGAGCCATGCTTTGAGGCACAGCATTGTTACACTGGGGTGGTGTAGTTGACCCCTGCATTGTGATAATAGGTTTGGAAGGGGGGGAGGAAGTGGAATCGGCAGGCAAACTGACATCCTCGTTAAAAATAGGTACCATGCCTTTCTGGACCACGTAGGGGCTATTAGTATGACCCTGGCCCTCTCCGCTCACCTTTTTTGCAATACCCTGTGAAGAACTGGTATCAGGGGGAATGCATATAGGAAATTGTCGTTCCATTTGATGATGAATGCGTCTCCCATTGAGTGCTTTCCTAGGCCCGCTCTGGAACAGAATTTCGGGCATTATTGTTGGTTACAGTTGCAAAAAGATCCAGTCGCGGGTAGCCCCATATTTTGAATATGTTGTATCGTTTATCTCCCATTCGTGATCTACGGGAAAAGATCTGCTGAGCTCATCCGCAGTGGTGTTTAGTGAACCAGGTATGTAGGAGGCTAAAATTTGGATACTGTGTTGGAGGCACCAATTTCAAAGTTTCATAGCCTCCATGCAGAGCAAGTGGGATCGAGCTCCCCCTTGTCTGTTTATATAAAACATGCAGGCAATGTCGTCAGTCATGAGTCTGATACGTTGATTCTGGATGTATGGGAGAAATTGGAGGCAGGTGTTGCGGACCGCTTGGAGCTCTAAAAGATTTATGTGTAGTGAGGCTTCTGTAGGCGACCAGAGTCCATGAGTGGTGTGGTGTGCCATGTGTTCTCCCCAGCCCTTGAGGGAAGCATCCATGGTAATTATAACGGAGGGGGACTCCTGCACGAACGGGACTCCGAAGCAGAAGTTGTGTGGCCAAGTCCACCATGTGAGTGAGTCCTTGACTTTGGTAGGTATGGATAGAAGTATGTTTAGGCCATGCACATTCGGTCTGTAGACAGTGGTCATCCAACTCTGCAGGCACCGCATGTAGAGGGATGCATTCTTGACCACAAAAGTGCAAGAGGCCGAGAAGTTGCTGACAATCCTGGACAATTACCTGCGGGCTGTTTTGCAACTTGGCGACAAGATTCTTTATGGTACTGAATCTGTCAGATGGGAGATATGCAAGTCCGGTTATGGAATCGAGGTGAGTGCCTATGAACTCTAGTCGCTGAATAGGAGTTAATGTGGATTTGTTTTTGTTTATTTGTAGGCCAAGACCCTGGAAGCAGTTGATGGTCATCTGTGTGACTTGGATGGCCTCCTCAAGAGTCTGTGCCTTGAGCAGGCAATCGTCCAGGTAAGAAAAAATTAGAAGTCCTTTTTTCCATAGGTGTGCTATTGCCACCACGAGAATCTTGGAAAAAAGACGTGGGGTGCTGTTGAGAGGCCAAAGGGCAGAACCTAGTGATTTGAGCCCATGACAAATCTGAGAAAACGCCTGTGGGCAGAGTGTATAGTTACATGAAAATAAGCATCCTGCAGGTCAAGGGCTGAAAACCAATCTCCCTGCTCCAGCGCTGGAATTACAGTTGTGAGGGTAACCATTTTGAATTTTTTCTTTTTGACAAACTTGTTGAGTCGCCTGAGGTTGAGAATGGGTCGCCATTCCCCACTTTTCTTTTCTGTTAAAAAGGAGTGGGAATAAAAATCCTTTCCCCTGTACTAATTGGGCACCATCTCCACTGCTCCTATTTGTAGAAGATCTTGCACCTCGTGAGAGGGGTCCCTGAAGAGGGACAGAGTGGACGGTGGATGGGGGGTATGGACAGGAAGGGGATGGAATAGCACAATCGGATGACCTCTAGGGCCCATCTGTCTGTAGTGATGGCTCGCCAGTTGTGGCAGAATGGGAGCAAATGGTGACCAAAAGATTGGATGAGAAGTATAAGTGCTGGAGTGGGTGGGAGGTCTTCTATACCCTCGACCAAGGCTTTAAATCTGCTTATTAGCTGGAGGGTGTTGGGACGGTGCCGATGTTATGAGGCGTCGTCGTTGATGCCTGGGTCTCTGGCAGTGTTGCTTCTGGTGGTCATATGGCCTCGGTTGTTGTTGTGTGTAGGCCAGGTATTGTGAGCGTTGGGTAAGGCTGATACCTGTGTTATCTTCTTCTAGCTGCCGGTGTATGGATGCCTAGGGATCTGAGCGTTGCTCTGGAATCCTTCACGGTGTGCAGTACCTCGTTGTTTTTTGCTGCAAATAATTTCTCGCCATCGAAGAGGAGATTCTCCATGGTGTTTTGTATCTTGCGTGGGAAAGAAAAAGAGGTAAACCATGAAGCCCAACGCATCACTACGGCCGTCGCGGTGGACCTGGCAGCTGTGTCTGCAACATTGAGGACAGCCTGCAATGCCGTGCGGGAAATAATCTGTCCTTCAGAGACTACTGCTTTGAATAGTTGTCTCTTGTCCTCTGGGATGTAATTAATAAAATCCATGAGTTTCCCGTAATTTCTGTGATCATATTTGGCCAGTAAGGCCGCGTAGTTTGCGACTCTAAATTGTAGCGTATATCATGCATAAACTTTGCTGCCGAGTAGGTCCATTCTTTTGCTGTCCTTGTCAGAGGGAGTGGACAGGAAATGCTGCTGTTTGTTCAATTGGTTGGCTGTTTCTACTCTCTTAAAACATGGTGAGCCAGATATAGTATAAACCAGGGGTGGGCAAACTTTTTGGGCCGAGGGCCACATCTGGGTGGGGAAATTGTATGTAGGGCCAGGGCAGGGGGTTGGGGTGCGGGAGGGAGTGCAGGGTGTGGGAGGGGGTGCGGTGTGCAGGAAGGGGCTCAGGGCAAGGGGTTGGGGTGCAGGGTGCGGCAGGGGGCTCAGGGCAGGGGGTTGGTGCACAGGGGTGCAGCAGGGGGCTCAGGGCAGGGGGTTGGGGTGCAGGAGGGGTGTGAGGTGCAGGCAGGGGGCTTAGGGCAGGGAGTTGGGGGGCGGGGTGCAGGAGGGGTTCTGGCTCCGGCCCAGCGCAGCTTACCTAAAGCAGCGCTGGGGTGGCAGTGGCGCGCACCGGGGCCAGGGCAGGCTCCCTGCATACCTGCCCTGTCCCCATCCCTGCGCTGCTCCAGGAAGCGCTGCGGCCCCTGGGGGAGAGGGGGCAGAGGGCTCCGCGTGAGCTGCCCTTGCCGCACCTCCAGGAACCTCCCCCGAAGCTCCCATTGGCCGCTGTTCCCCGTTCCCGGCAGGGCCGGCTCCAGGAACCAGCGTAGTAAGCTGGATCCGGCCCGCAGGCCGTAGTTTGTCCACCTCTGGTAAAAACTGTCTAACTAACTGACAGCAAAAACTGGGAAGGAATTTTTTTTTTTTTTTTGGAGATGAAGGGAGAAATGAAACTTGTCTGACTAAAAAACTAGGTAAACTGCATAAACAACTATCTCAAGTGAAAAATAATTGAGTGACACTGTTGAGCTCAGTCTCAGGCCGCGGACGGTAGAGAAGGAACTGAGGAGCCCGGGCCGCGTGCGCACTATTGAGGCACAGTTGGTGCGTGAGAAAGGGGTAAACAGTGAGGTGGCAAAGTTTGCAGATGATACTAAACTGCTCAAGATAGTTAAGACCAAAGCAGACTGTGAAGAACTTCAAAAAGATCTCACAAAACTAAGTGATTGGGCAACAAAATGGCAAATGAAATTTAATGTGGATAAATGTAAAGTAATGCACATTGGAAAAAATAACCCCAACTATACATACAATATGATGGGGGCTAATTTAGCTACAACAAGTCAGGAAAAAGATCTTGGAGTCATCGTGGATAGTTCTCTGAAAATGTCCACGCAGTGTGCAGAGGCAGTCAAAAAAGCAAACAGGATGTTAGGAATCATTAAAAAGGGGATAGAGAATAAGACAGAGAATATATTATTGCCCTTATATAAATCGATGGTACGCCCTCATCTCGAATACTGCGTACAGATGTGGTCTCCTCATCTCAAAAAAGATATACTGGCACTAGAAAAGGTTCAGAAAAGGGCAAATAAAATGATTAACGGTTTGGAACGGGTCCCATATGAGGAGAGATTAAAGAGGCTAGGACTCTTCAGCTTGGAAAAGAGGAGACTAAGGGGGGATATGATAGAGGTATATAAAATCATGAGTGATGTGGAGAAGGTGGATAAGGAAAAGTTATTTACTTATTCCCATAATACAAGAACTAGGGGTCATCAAATGAAATTAATAGGCAGCAGGTTTAAAACAAATAAAAGGAAGTTCTTCTTCACGCAGCGCACAGTCAACTTGTGGAACTCCTTACTTGAGGAGGTTGTGAAGGCTAGGACTATAACAGCGTTTAAAAGAGAACTGGATAAATTCATGGAGGTTAAGTCCATTAATGGCTATTAGCCAGGACAGGTAAGGAATGGTGTCCCTAGCCTCTGTCTGTCAGAGGGTGGAGATGGATGGCAGGAGAGAGATCACTTGATCATTGCCTGTTAGGTTCACTCCCTCTGGGGCACCTGGCATTGGCCACTGTCGGTAGACAGGATACTGGGCTAGATGGACCTTTGGTCTGACCTGGTACGGCCTATCTTATGTTTCTTATGTGAGGCAAGCACCTCGCGTGCATGGCCCATGCGAGTACTGCTGTAAAAATCTCTGAGTGAAGGCGCAGGGATGCACCAACACCTGGAGTGGAGCACCCACATGGACATCTCTCGAAGAGCAGCAGAAGATGTTGATTCTTTCCGCAAGGGAGGGGGAAATAAGGGCAGGGAGAGAGTGGTCCAAGAGAGAAAAACTCCAGGAACAGCCAACAACAGACTGAGGTTTGTGCTTTACATTACTTAACAATAAAGGCGAACCTCAGGGACTAAGGGTTTGATCCAAAGCCCTTTGGAAGCCCTGGCTGGGATGATTTAGTTGGGGATTGGTCCTGCTTTGAGCAGGGGGTTGGACTAGATGGCTTCCTGAGGTCTCTTCCAACCTTGATATTCTATGATTCTATGGAAATAGAATCTGTCTGTCTTCAAATGGCTTTGGATTAGGCCCTAGATACAACTGTGTTGAGAGCAGGATGAGAAAAATCACACCTCCTCTTAAGCAGAAGTTTGGTCATTTGGTGTGGTCTTCTGGGGCAAACCAGTCTATCACAGGGGTCCCCCATTGATGGAATAATGGCTCTATGATAGACCCTACAGTGACCATTTGTGGCTGGTCAAAGGGGAGAAAAGGGTTAAATAAAATAACAAAAACCATGACACATCACTATAAGAAACTTTCTATCCCAGTTCTGATGTGCAGCAATAATCGGTCCACCAAGGAGAAAATCACAGCAGCTAAAAAAGCAAATTGCTCTTCAAACAAAATGTCACTCATGTACCTGTATGTATTCTCACATGGTTCTTGTAATTGGTTGCACTGGCAAATGCTCTCCCACATCCTGGTTCTGTACAGTAATAGGGTCTTTCACCAGTATGCGTCCTGATGTGAACTTTTCTAATATTGGATGTTGTGAACGACCTTCCACAGCCTTCAAAGGGACATTTGAATGGTCTTTCACCTGGAACAAATATAGAAATGTATATAGGTAAAGTTATAAACCACTACAAAAATAAGTAACTGGATTTAGATTAAATTTAGGATTCTAAAGTGCCTGATTAATGATTTCTCATGTATTTCTTATATGTCATATTTTAGCCCAGTCTTACTGTGAAAGAAACCTCACACAGAAAACATTTCAAGACAGATCATCTGGTGCAAGAAAAGAATGGTTACTTCCCCTCCAGTAACTGTGGTTTTTCAAGACACTGTAATCAGTGTGGATCCCGCTGTTGGTTCACATGTGCCTTATGCATGCAGAGCTGGAATTTCTTTGAATAACAGTGTCCTTCGGAACAATGCATATACCCTGTGCCGCCTCATGTTCCCATACAAGGGCATAAAGGGCAGGAAAGCCATCAGCCTCTATCAGTTCCCTCACAATTCAAAGCCCATGTTGCTGAGGACTCTGAAAACCGGGGATGTAAGATAAGTTATGGGATCCACACTGACTACAACATCTCAAAGAGCCACAATTACTGTAGGTATTCTTTTTAGAGACTGTCAGTGTCCTCTCTGGATGGTGGGAATGAGGCATTCCAGTTATATCAGTCAAACAATGACTGTACAACTGCCTCCTGAACTTGGCATCTGCCCTGGCTGCCATGTCAAAGCAATAATGTTTAACAAAAAAACCCAGTGGGTTACTCCACATTGCACCATACAGATCTCAGAGACTGGAATGTTCCTGAAGCAGGTGGTAGATTCAGTCTATGCCCTAGTGCAGTAGTTCTCAACAGGGGTCCGCGGCCCCCAAGGGGGCCTTGAGCAGGTTTCAGGGGGGCCTCCAAGCAGGGCCAGCATTAGACTTGCTGGGGCCCAGGGCAGAAAGCTGAAGTCCCACTGCATGGAGCTGAAGCCCAGGTCCCTGAGCCCCGCCACCCAGGTTAAAGCTGAAGCCTGAGCAATGTAGATAGACCCTACAGTGACCATTTGTGGCTGGTCATTGCATGCTTGGTTAAGAAGTCTGCCAGATCATTGCTGACCCTTGGTAGGTATATAGCAAGCTGGGTAATCTTGTGTTGGGGACACAACATTCAGAGTCAGATGGCTTCCTGGCAGAGATGGGATGATCAGGCACCTCATTGTTTGGTATGTATATAGTGCATAGTGGACATGTTGTCAGTCAGGATTTGCATTGTGATGTTCTACAGAACAGGCAGGAATGCTCTACAGGCAGGAATGCTCTACAGGCTAGTCTGATAGCTCTCAGCTCCAGGACATTCATATACAAAATTTACATCATACAGAGACCATGTCCCTTGCACCTGCAAATGGCTCAGGTGGGCACCCAGGCTGATCCTGCAATGTGTGTGGCAAGTGTCAGTTGGGGAAGGAACAAAGAAGGGAACCCCTTTCCACATGTTCACTGGGTCTTAGCACCGAGGGATCTCTTGTAGGACCAAAGGCAGGACAGTGGCCCTCCTGTTCATGTGATGTCTGGACAGGGAGTACATGGACCTCAGCCACAGCTATAATGACTGGAGGTGAAGTCTGGCAAACAGTGTCATGTACATGCACACAAACCTATGGCCAAAGAGTCCATGTGTGCACCATTTTGGGGTTCAATTTTAGGGTGTTTGCCACCCACTGGAGAAACTGGAATTGGTCTTCTGGTAGGCAGGCTCTGGCTGATGTGGAACTGATCAAAACACCTATAAACTCTATCATCTCCCATGGTTCAAGGGAGGATTTCTTCACAAGGAGTCTTAGTTGAGAGAACAGGGAAAGGATGTATCCCAAAGCTGTTGCAATCTCCTGTTGGGAACTGACTCTGAAGAGCCAATCATCAAGGTACAGGTAGAAATGGATTCCCTGCCTCCTTAAATGCGTTGCCACTACTGCAAAGTATTTCGTGAAGATTCTTACTGCAGAGAAGAATCTGAAGGGTAGGATCCTCTCTGATTAAATGGTTAGGCCTCACTGTGCATCTTAGATTCTTCTAGGGGGCAGATGGATAGCTATATGGAAGTATGCATACTGTAAGTACAGACCTATGAGCCAGTCTTGAGCTCAGAGAGATGGAGCGATGGAAGCAATTGCTACTATGTTGAGCCTGGGACAACAAATGTATTCATAGAGTCCCCTTAATAGCATGAAGACCCCCTTTCTTCTTTGAAATGAGGAAATACTAGGAATAGAACCCTCTTCCCCTGAACTCTACTGGTATTTTGGTGGTGATACAGAGCGTTGATATTGCTCTGCCCCCAGATCTGATTCCTCATGATATTTTGGCATATGTGGTCTGGCAAGAGATGCTGATAGGTAGAGTGACCTCTTCCTCAAGTTTGGCAAAGACTGGCTGGTGGGCCCCAGTAACCCTATTTAGGCCCTGTCAGCATAACAAGTACAGTTTGTTCACCAGGTGCTGGCTAGTCCAGTGCCCTTCCTTATGAATCAGTGGTGGTGCAGGCCTGCAGGGAAAGCTGATAGACCTTTCCATGGTGTTGACCAGTGACCTCCCTGGAGAAGATTTTCTATTTGAAGATAGGGAGAACTTTTGCTCCGCCGATGGTGAGGAATAGATTTCCTTCGGGATGCTGCCGAAGTGTGTGGTGCTCTCAGTTCCAGAGTCTGTACTGGCACTAGCAGGTGCTTTGGCACCAATGACTGTTCCAGTTCTCCCCAGGCTTATTCTGTGTTTGACATCAACACCAAGGGGTGCACCACTGGAGCCAAGATCAGTGCTGGCACGGTCTTTTGCACGTTAGGATACTCCTCCTCTCTAGCCCTTGAAACTGAGCAGGGCCTGGTGGATTTCCCTCCAAAGGATTTGCAATGTCTGTCCTTACGTCCAAGGTCTACCTGGAGCAGTCCCTTTTGGTGTCCCATTCAGAGTGGTCCCTTGTGTCAGACATCGACAATGGAGGTGTTAGTGCCCAATTCAATGCAAGGGATGTTGGGATCAGCTTTAGTGCTAGTGCCTGGTCCATTCTCGGCTCCATTTTCTCTGCATTGGTATTCAGTGTAGCTTGTCTGGTAGACAGGGTGCTGGATAAACACTGGCTTATCCATTAGCAGGACACCTTGGAGCTCATCTCCTCAAGGTTCAAAGAGACCTTCATGGATCGTTCCAGAAGACAGAGTTTCAGCCTCACGTCTTGTGACTTATGCATCCCAGCAGCGAATGACAGGCCCACTGAGCATATGTCATTATGTGCGACTCTCCTAGACAGATGAGGCACTTACTTTTAAGGAAATTAGTCAATTGCAGGATGGACACGGCTTAAAGCCTGCAATTTTTGAGATTGCCACATTAAGAAGTATTGTACAGGGAGTGCTTGGGAGGTGAGGGAGGAATCTAGTTGTTAGTCAAGATAGGCCTAAATTATCACAGCAGTTGAAAAATCAAGGTAATCAGACGACTTCTGAAGATATTAGATATTATATTTAGAGGATCTTCAAGAAGGTTTAGCCAAAGCTAAAATTAGCAGGTCAGACACTGCCAGGTTCCATCTTTTTGCTATGGGTGGTAAGAAGGAACTGAGGGAGCCACACTGCCCTTTATGCCCTCATATGGGGGCATGAGGAGGCACACAGGGCATGAGTGGCCCCCGACAGACACTATTATTCAAAGAAACTGTGTTTTCTCACACACCAGGTGCATGAATACATACAGTGGGATTCACACTGATACATACTTGAAGAATATAATTTTTCTACTATTAAGGACTGTATAAATGCATGATGAGGTGCAAATATTACGGAAGACACAGAGAAGACCAGCATTTTATAGAAATAAATTAATCAACAGTGCTCACTTTATTTCATAAAATTAATTTAAACTTTTAATATGTGAACTTTTACATGCAGCATAAGCTGATTTTGAAGAGTTGTAGCACAAAGCAATTCATTCCCTTAGTCAATCATAATTAAAGCATTTAAAAATTGTGTTCTTTTTTATAATGATTTGCTATTTAAGAACTAAAACTGTGTCCTAAATACTACAGGAAGGAAAGAAATAAATGTATACTGAAATATGTAAGAGGCTGGCAGTCTTTGTCTGAAACACTCCACTCTGTCAGCAGGTGTTAGTCCTGCTGGGAAAATAGTTAAATTGGTTCTGCTGAATTACTGAGGGAGATGATTTGTAACTTCACCTATATTAAAAAAAGAGAGGATTTAGAATGTGGGCTGACCCCTAGAAGAAGCCAAGTCTGGGAGAAGGTTTGAACAGAGTTTTATTTTAATTTTTACTGTCTTTGGTCCTGTTCTTGTAATCACATCTGCCTGGGTGGATCCAAATGACCACTAGGAGTCACATGGGCCCAGGGGTTTTACCACGTGGATGAAAATTGCAGGATCAGGGCCTTTGTTAATAAAGTTAACATCACGCGAAGGGGTTAGGGTTTGATTGTACACATTTTTCCAAACATCCTTTTGATAAACAGTATACAGACAACACAATATCCTGCTGTATGAAGGATTTGCAGAGAACTGCAGCTATGCCCTCAACAGTTAAATATTGATATGTTTTGTGTCCATTTTACAAGATTTATTTGGAACTGTTTTATATTATTTTTTAACCAATATGGTACCATGAAATTAACTATTTTAATTTATTTTTGTTATTATGGAGCTAAACTGGTGTGCTCAATAGAACCACATAAACCCTTAAGAAAATGTTTTAACATTTTAGGGCTTGATCCTACTATCTAAGTATTGTGGGTGTTCCAAGAAAATGATCCTACATTTTTATGGAATCCTTCATCCTGAAACAACCAAACATGCGTTATAAATTTAGCACCAAATCCTGCCAACCTTACTCAGTCACTGGGACTACTTGTGTAAAAAGGGACTTCTCGCATAAGGATTGCAGACCTGGGTCCTTAAAATAAGTATACAAACTATAAGCATGGATAGTCCATCACTAATATGTAGCCACCTCTATGGGTAAATATGGTAGCTATATAACAGCACATAGCACTACTATACATCAGTTTAGAACAGGAAGTCAATGAT